TGTGAACAAGGCTGCGCTCGGTCCTTCTAAGACCCACATAGAAACAGTACTGCTGATGGACACAGTCCTGCATGACCCTAAGGACTCTAAACTTTGGGAATTATGGTGTATTCCTTATAATGTGTAATGCACGATTTTGTCCATGAACAGTATGAAAGCCGTGGGTAAGCTGCCGCAGTGCCGTAGGCCTGGCATTCCAGGGACCCTATAGGACAAGTTGGTGGGGTCGACAGCCGCCACCAGTCCAAATTGTTGGCACAAGATCGTCTCCGTAGGGTTCCGGTAGGAATAGAGTATAGCTGATATAGACTTATGATAAGAAGCCCTAAACGTTGAACCCCTAAGCTCGTGGAGATATCTTCGGCAGCCACCCATCCTCGGGTTCGAGTCTCAGAGAGCCTGCCTCTTAACGGAATTGCGGCCTTGAGTGTGTAACAGTGTAGGGGCTTCGGGTGTGGAGAGTGTCTTGGGGGCTGAATTTAGCCCTTCACCTAAAGGGCCTGGGGTGTACGGGAATAAGGTTTTAGGTTTGAGAGATTTTCGTGTTTAGAGGTAAAGTTAAGAGCAGTTTGAAAGCACAGACTAAGCCCTCAACGCCAGACCCCAAGGTGTGTTTAGGGTAAGTCTACACATTCCTTCAAGACAGGAGCAACCTCTCCAAACTCGATAACACTTAGGTGCTTCGGTTCAGGATGGTAGGAAAAAGTTGGTGAGTAAGGGCATACATGGCTATGGAATACTTGGCAAGGGTCCTGAGGGGGCTGGTTGCCTGGGATTCATGGGTTCAGGCTGTGGGGCTTCGGTTTCATGATTTGACTGTTGTCCTCCTGCAACAAGCTTAAGTTGCTTAAGGATGCCGGTAACCCGAAAACGCTACCACCGTAAAGCAAGACCTTTAACTCGGCAGGTATATATAGATGTAGCAAGCACGGCAGACGGCTGCGCGATGAAAGGCAGCTTGTGCGTATTCTTTCCTTTCCCAGGATTTAATCTACTATTTGCTTAAGACCCCCCCAAAAAATAGAAAATATATTCCTTATAGGGATAATATAGGGATTATTATTGTTATTTTTTGGGGGTTCTTAAGCAAATAGTAGTAATGTTGAGGAAGCCTGCTAAGGTTATGGAGCTGCGAATTAAGGTTTGAGCTTCGCGACATCTCTTGCTTGCCGAAGATCCGGTGACACACAGCTCCATGCGACGCTCGGAGACTCTGTGACTCTTAATTCTACGTGAGTTGTAGGTCCAAAAGGGTGAGACCACAAGCGGGGATAGTTTGATGACGTTGGCTTGCCCCGCCAGACGAGGCTGCCTCCCGAATATGATGTCCTTCAACTTATACCTTCAAGCTGTAGCCTCTCAAACTCCAAACCTGAATGTAAGCAGGTTTGGGATGAAGAACGTGTTTTGCAGTGCCTCGCTATCTTCGTAAGTGCGTGGTGTCGACAGCCAGCGCTCCGATGCTACCTGTTCATTGGTCGTAAACCATTAACCTGGCACCCAATGCTTTGTGTTCACTCCGTCAGCAGGACCGAGAAAGGGTCAACTTCCTGTACACAGATACAGACAAAGAATAACGAAAAGTTCGAAGTTCCACCATTAGACTAGGTTAAGCCCGAAACCCTGCACAACTCTATAAAACTCCGTAAACATCCATAAGAATCCATGAGAACCCTATAGAATCTATAGAACCCGTCATACACCCGATAAGACCCCACAAACCCTCTCAACCCCTAACCCCTTGCTTAAAGCCCTAAACAGCTAACTTCTGCCTCGCCCTCCATAGTTTCTTCCTGTGGCGGGAGGAAGGCCAGCACGCGGGTCGGTGGTGGAAAACTTCCCCGCTGCGAAATGCGGGATGAAGGTGCGTGGTCTGGAGCAAATGCATGGCTAAGCTGTGACTATGAGGATGCAAAGCCTTCTTCAGCGGGACATAGTAGTCGCGGCTTCCTGAGTTCCATACAGTTGCTAAGTCAAGTGCCCTGGCCCTCAGAAGCGTGCGCTTTTGCTTGCGGTGGGGTTTGTGTATCCCAAAAGGTTAATTGTAGCATAGCCCCTCAGACCCATAATACGAACACGGGGCGAAAGCCACCACTAAACAAGAAACATTACCCCTTATGTTCATACAGCGAAGTTACACAAGACAGGGGCCTCAACGTTAGAAAGGCTTTTGGCTAAGTTACGGCATGATTAAATTCAGGAGCCTTGGGACGCTGTATATACCCTAAATCCAAAACTCTCCCTGAACCCCATCGGATTGCTTATAGAACTTTGCCTTTACCTTATGGGATCCTTAATATATATTTGGTTAAACCAAAAAAAGGAACTACAATGGAGACTATAGGTAGTCTCCTCTCGCCACCGCCAGGCATTTGCCAGATTTCCCAAGCTCAGCATGGGAACGAAGGCGCTTCATCCTGGGCCCCGTTGATCTAAGGGTTCCTTCAGGGCTCCTTTACGTAACGGTTTAGGGCTTAGTTTTAGGGTTTAGGGTTTAGTTTTTAGGGTTTAGGGTTCAGTTTTTAGGGTTTAGGGTTTAGTTTTTAGGGTTTAGGGTTAAGGGTTCCTTTAACTATACTGAACTTAGAACCCTAGCAAAAATCATAGTTTGAGCTGTTTCTTAGGGATTATAATAACCAAAAGTTTTAAAGAATTCTAAGTACCCCTAAGTTAAGGGTTCCTTTAAGGGCTCCTTCAAGAGTTCCTTCATGGGTTGCTTGAAGAGTTCCTGCGGGGGGGCTCCTAACAGGGTTCGTTTAAGAGTTCCTTCAATTCCTTTGAGAGCTTCGCGGTTTGGAGCATAGGGAGTGTTGGGTGTATGGGTTTTGGTCTACTTTGGAGGCTCGGGATACAATGGAATCGCAGCTGTACTGACTGACGACCCAAATCTAACCCTGAAGATCTATAGGAAGCCAGGGGCTTATAGCTTCGGGTGAAAGTTTAGGTTACTTCTAGAGAGGTACAGCCAACCCCTACAACTGCCAGGCCCACTTCATACCCCCAAGCCCGAAACTCTTAAGCCCTCACGGCCCAAACCCTACCCCAAAACACTCAACAAAACCCCCCAGAATGCCCCAAAACCCTAAATCCAAACCCCTAAACCCTAAACCCTAAAGCCCGAAACAACCCTAAATTTACTAAAGCCCTATAAACCCTAAATCCTATGTAACACTCCAACCACCCAAGCCTCTGAAGCCTCAAACCCCAAAACCCTAAACACACTGAAGCCCTAAAACCCTCAAACCCTAAACCCCTGAAACCCTCAAAACCCTTAAATGCCGGCCAGCCTTTAAGGATTTGAAAACCCGAAACCCCTACGTCCTAAAACCCTCAAAACCCTTAGCTGCCGCCCAGCGGAGCCTTTTAGGATGTGAGCTTGCCAAACGATCGGAGAGACCTGCGAAGGGTTCAGGCTTACAGGCTACAGAGCCTGTAGGGCTTATAGGGGTTTATAGGGGTTTAGGAGTTTAGGAGTTAGCGGTTTAGTGGTTTAGGGTTTAGGGGGTCTTCTTGCGCAGTGGCTGGTAAGCCATGCTAGGATAGCGCCTCCTCACACCAGCTTAGAGATTCTGTGTTTTAGCTAACTTTTATTCTACAATGCTTGACTTATAAGTGTTGTGTATGTGAAAGGTAACCGTCATATAGTCATTGCATAACTAGTTATAAAAATGTGTAAGTGGCTAAGGCGATTCGTAAAGTTATGGTAAAGATAGTAAACAACATATTTTCAAGTTAACTTTATCCTTGTTTTTTCATTACTTAGTAATTTAACTTAATTGTTTAATGTATCCTCTTAAAATTTTACTAAGTAGTTAAATTAAGCTTTTTGACAGTCATGCCTGTTGTGGAAAGACAGGCAAATCAATTCATTGATGATGGCTTCATGGCAAGTGAATGGGGCAGGGTGTCGTGAATAATTTTAAGTAACAGTCCCATCGGGGCTTGCATTTAAACATAAGTCCTGTTTGTAGGGCTCTGTTTTGTTTATAGGAGTTTCTATTTGCAGTGACCTCGGTCGCTTTAAGTCCTTCCCAAGAAGATTGGTTTGGATGCTTCAAGCCACCATGGCTCTCTGGAAGTGTCTTGTGTTCGCGAATGGTTTTCCATATGTTTTTAGCATGTGAAGGATGCTGAAAGCCGCATGCTTATTTTCCGATTTTTTTTGCATTTTCCATTTGACTCATGCAGCATGACGACATGCTTAGTTACTGAACTGTGTTGTGCATGTGATTCATTCACAGTATTTTCAAGTTCAAGTCCTCGCCGCGTTTGCACTGTGTCGAACATGGGCCGAAGCAGGACACCACCAAAGCGAAGGTCGCAGGAAGATGGCTCCCGAAACCCTTCGAACCAAGGTGAAACCGAGCCGAGCCAGGGCAATTTGCGGAATCGCAGCCGTTCCCCACCGCGAACAACTGAGTGGCGATGGCACTGGGTGAACTCCAATGGTGTCTGGTGGTGGAAGTGGTTTATCCACCGAGGATAAGAGACATGCTAGCATGTCATGCAAGTTTTTTGTTTTGGTTAAATCAAAACCGTCTTAAGAGCTTAGAAGTGCATGCCACATGCATTTCTATAATTCGGATGCGGACAATGCCCATGATGAGGTTCTTGCATCGGAAAAAAAGCTTCGTCGATGTGCAGGGTTCATGTTTGCCAGATGTTTGGGTTTTCTGAAGGAACGGATTCGCTTGAAAGCACATTGCCTCCTGCAACTTGGTTTGGATAGGCTTCGCAAGCAAGCAGGAGAAATCAATACTCCTGCTCTGTATCCTTATGGGAGGAGGAGCAGCATATTGCGGTACTGTGCAAAGGTATCCGGCTCAAAGCCTTTGTATATGATTTTGAAAGCTTCCTGGTAGGACCAGAACAACAGTAGCCACAAGAACAACAATAATCATATCAGTATGTGACCATGGTGCATGCCGGGTTGGTTTTAAGCATGCAGGCTATAGAGAACTGTGCAACGTGCTAAACCTGAAAGCTTTTTTCTGACAGTCATGGACGAGCACCGTGACAAGAAGCTGCAGAGGCTAGACAGACTCAGAAAGCAAGTTCCCTACTGCTCGCAGAATGCATTGTCTGCGATTCTGACGAATGTGGCAGAGCACGGAGTTCCAGCTCTGCATTCCAAGAAGCATGTCCAGGAGGCTAACCGGAGAGCCCTGGAACAGTGCAGTGGGTATGGGCCACTCTTCAAAACTGTGAAGCTGAAGACTTTAGAAGATCAGGAAACACCGATCACGATTGTGAACTTTTTTTCGCTGCTGCAAGGCATTTATAAGTCTGGAGGAGCATTCGCAGATTTGATGAAATCCACAATGGCTACAGAAGGTTGCCTGCAACTGGCACTGTATGCAGATGAAGTGTCACCAGGTAATGTCCTGAGCACTGCTGCTAGCCGCAAGATTTGGACGGTTTACGCTTCTTTTGCAAACTTTCCGGCACACATCCTGAGTAACGAAAGCTTTTGGCTTACCATATGTGTGCAGAGAACCGCTGTCGTGAATACTCTCTCCGGCAATATGAGCCAAGTTTTCAAAGCGATTTTGCAGGAAATATTCAAGAATGATTCCGCCAACCCAGCCCACGGGTTGCTGCTCAAGGGCAAAAGCGGCGACCACCTTCGATTGATCTTTCGACCAGGTTTGGTCGCACAAGACGGATTAGCGCACAAATACATTTGGTCGATCAAAGGCGACAGTGGATCGAAGTTCTGCGTATTGTGCAAGAATTGTGTGGCAATTTCACGGCCTGGGGAGTTTGACGACGAAGACATGAACGGTGTGTGCCGAATTTCGATGCATTCCGATTTATCTTTGGCGACGGATGCAGAAATCTGGGACAGTATGGCCCGTTTGAAAGAAAAATATCACACCTGCAACAAAAGGACTTTTGAGAAGTGGCAACAGGCCACAGGTGTTACCTTTTCCATGGAGGCCGTTCTGTCGCACGAGCCGTTTCGCAACATCGTGCAGCCCGTTGCGATGTACATGCATGACTGGATGCATTGTTGTTTGAGCAATGGTTGCCTGTCCTTGGTGTGTTGGCTGGTGCTCAATGTTTTGCACCAGGCTGGCTTGGCAGTTTTCAAGACAATGCCAGGCTACTTGGGCAAGTGGTGTTTGCCGAAAGCGATGTCCACTGTGAAGATTGCAGATATGTTTTCTGCCAAGCGACTGGATAGCTGCAAAGCTGCTGACAAGCTGAAAAGTTCTGCTTCGGAGATGCTGACGTTTCACGTGCTCTTTGTGTACTATCTTCGAACTTGTGTGGTGCCATGCTCCTGGGTCGCAATATCCCATCATGTTTTGTGCTTGATTTCGTTAGTAAGAAGGCTTCTGCTGAGCTTGCTTCTTCTGAGCTTCAGGTGGCCGGTTCCAAGTCGAATGTGAAGCTCTCTTTGCTTTGAGTGCCATGGTTGACCGTTTGCAGGCGGCAAGCCAAGGCCATGTTGTTGCCCCTGCTGAGTTGATTCGTGCTGCAAACGAGTGTTTGCAGAAGATGATTGATGCGGGATGGGGCGACTATCTCACAAAGAAGTTTCATTGGCTTCTCCACTTCGGAGACGAGCTCCGCCGCCACGGCAAGCTGGTGGGTTGTTTCGCGATGGAAAGGAAGCATAAAGCAATCCGTGCTTTTGCAACCGCGATTCAAGACACTCGCGACTACGAGTTGAAGGTTTACAGGGAAGTTTTGGGCCAAGAACTCTTCGATTTATCCCATTGTGATTCTTCGGAGCTGGGCATGGGCTTGCAAAATCCTGGCAGACCTACTCGCAAAGTGCATCCTCTTTTGAAGCAGGTTTTCCAGCTCGGGGATGGTGACATGGACCACTGTCTGGTGAGCAGTTCGGTTCGCCTTGATTCGGGTGGCTCCTGCAGCAAGGGCGATGTAGTCTTGGTGAAACCAGCAGCTTCTGGCCGACCATGGGATGCTGGGCAAGTTTGGCTCCATGTGGAAATCAATGGGCTGTGCTGGACTTTGGTGTCCATGTGGCAGATGTTGAGCTTGGATGCCGCTACAGACAGTGCTTGCTGGATGGAACAGGAGCATCCCTTTTTTGTGCAGACCAAGGACATTTCGTCAGCTGTGATCTACACTCGAGCACGGGACGGAATCCGAACACTCATTCCCTATCCCCAGCGGCAGAGATGAAAGCATGTTTCACCGTGCCTGCATGTGTGTGGCAACCCTTCCACGGATTCAAAGCAAGCAAAGAAAAAAAACCCTCAAGGGACTATTAAACCTCCTAGCAAAATCAGCCCCAACCGGGACTCGATCAAACAAAGAAATTGCATTTAATCAAGTCCCATGCAGGGGCTGAAACATCTAGCCAACACAGGCGCAAACACCTTCAGCCCCTGGTAAAACTAATTTGTAGGGACTCTTCTAAAGTTTCTTGTCGGACTTCATGGCAGCATTCGCCGCTCCGATCTAGCTTCGTTGCACCAGACAGGCAAGCATTGCACCATGGCCACACATGCCATGCCACTTCTTGCCGCCAGAAATAATATTGCCAGCAACCTTCTTTGCGGTTTGCAATTTTTCAGTCTGCAGTATGCAGGCTTCTTTCCACTTTGATTTTGATGTAAGTTTTTTGACAAGGCCTTCTATGGATGTGTCTGTCAAGTGATTTATTGTCACAGATTTCCTCGAAACATACTTTTGGCCGTGGTTTAAACCATATCGGCTAGGCTGCATTTTTTGTTGGTCCACCTGATGATGTTAATAACTTAATTTTCTACTAAACACTTACTAACTTTGCACCTAAAATTAAGTTAACTGTTTATCTAACTTCGTTAAGTACACTTCTAACTATGTTAATTATGAGAGGGTTTGTGGGTGGCGGCATATTACGCAATACGCGTCAAGCGACCTTCCTTGCATGTTCATAGAACTCGGTGAAACCGGAAGTTTTCTTACACCCGCCCGGTGTGATGATACCACAAGCAAGCACCCAAACCATGTCCTGTTAGGGTTTAGGGCTTGCGCCCTCAATTCCAGCACCGAGCGGACAGGGGCTTTGGGCGTTTCGGGATCCTCTTGGGGGGCCCATATTGGGCTGCTGGATAGAAAACCCCCGAAAACCCGCATAAGGCTTTGAGCGTTGGGTTGGGGTGTTCCCATCCAGGGAGAATCAAGGTATTCTCGTGGATTCTAAGCCCAACTGCAGCTGTGTTCGACCATAGGCTCCTCCCAATGTTGCAAAGGCGCTGCCGGGTATCTTCAGTGTCTGGGCACCCAATTATGAATGGGAATGGCCCAAGGGGGCCAGGTGGTGGGAATTTTAGGTTAAGTTCAGGGTTTAGGGGTCAGAGTTTAGGGTTAAGTTCAGGGTTTAGGGGTTTGGTTTTAGGGTTTAGGGTTAAGTTAGGCGTTGGGGGGTTTAGGTTTAGGGTTTACGGTTAAATTCAGGGTTTAGGGGTTTAGGGTTGAGGGTTCGGGGGTTTAGAAGTTTCGGGTTATGTTAAGGTTTGAGTTGAGGTTGGGGGTTTAGGATTAGGGTTTCGGTTAAGTTAAGGGTTTGGCGGTTTAGGTTTAGAGTTTACGGTTGTGGGTTTCAGCACCGTAATAGTCAGAATAGGATTCTGGGGTGGTTTGGAAAGTTTCATAGGAACGTCATAGGGTCTGTTAATAAAAGGTTAATCACAGCGGCATTGTTATGGGGGCTATGAAGGGATACTGTCACTAATCATTCAGACCTATATATAGAATATTATATATATATATATGTTGCAAGTTCATGTCAGGGTTCGGTGAAAGGGCTTGATACATGAAGTAAATGTTTCCTACAAGTATCCCCATACCACCCTGAGTGCACACTCACCCATATCCCTTAAAGACAGTGAATTCTGTACGCTGAAAGAAAAACACCACCGCATCCATAACCCCAAACCCCAAACCCAAAGCCGTACGGAAACTCGCAACAGAACCTTGCAAGGAAGCCTTAAAGGAACCCTAGCAGAATCCCTAGATAAACCCCAAACCCTAAGATTCCTAAACGCCTAAACCCCCAAAACCCTAAACCCCTATAAACCCTAAGCCCCTCACTCCGCCTGCCTTTGGAGGACAGAGCCGGTCTAAGAAGACTCGCCCATCTTCCAGAAGGACCTGCCGTGAGGGAGGGCTTCAACTGATGGGAGGCCAAAAGGGGGGTTTAGGGTTTAAGCTTTACGGTTTAAGATTCTTGGGGTAGGGATTCCTTAATATGAACCCTGTTATGGGAACCCTAATTGGCCTCCTTTGATCAACTGGAGCTTTACGATTTCGTTTCGGCCTTGGGGTCCGAAGGACCCAATAATTTTTTTTCTTTAAGGGGTTCTAGAAGGTTCTTTTGAAAGGGCTACTATAAGGGTTCTATTATAAGGACCCGATAATTAGGTACTCGGTTTTAGGAGAGTAGTTATGTGGGTTAGGATTTGGGAGAGTATGCGATTATTATTAGGGTACTTGGACCCTTGGGGTTAGGCCTTGCGGTCTTGGGGCCTCTCATTGAAGGGGCTTTAGATGGAGCATTGATTAAGATTTTGTTTAAGGCTGAAAGGAATAGGGTGCCTTTAATTAATAGGGCCTTTTCAGTTCGGTGTCGGGCATTCAGAGTTTCAAGCGTTCCCCCACACTGATTTATGAGTCGGCAACTCAGAAAAATGCAGCAAGGGACTGTAATATAGGGGCCTTTAATAATTCGAATAGGGTTTTGGGGCCCCTTACACTATAATTACAATAAGGAACCCCCAGAATAGCATAGGTATTTTTTAGGCCCCTAAAAAGGAATGATCCCAAAGGACCGCCTCATACTTAAAGGATCATGGGACTTACTTATACTTACTTATAACCTCACTTACAAAGTCCTCTGATCCTCCAAGCAGGGTTTTGGGGCTAAGATCGCAGGTTTGTGCCTCAGGGCTCTTAGGCTTTGCAGTTGAACAACAACTGCACCGGTTCCCGGCTACCATCTGCGGAAAATCAAGCCTAAACCCTGTAGTGTGAATCTGCGAAACCCCAGACTCAGCAGGGCTTCTAGGTGCGCGTGTATGTGTATGTGTGTGTGCGTGTGCGTGTGTATGTATGTAGGTATGTATGTATGTGGGGGGCACAATTCGAGGCTTTGGTCAGCCAAGCAAAAGCCGGCAGTTATTTCAATTATTTGATTCTAGTCTGGGGTAATTATCATAGTGTTTCCTTCTGTTCAGATACAGCTACCGATTATCGATCAAAATTAAATAATCTACTCGAACTCTTTCAACAACCCAAAGATGGAGACCCATAACTACCAATCTGAGTTGCACACTACTAACCCAAACACCTCGTTATTCGGTTCCTTGGACACCGAAAACGCCGAGTCAACAGCCAGGTCCCTCAAAATGGACCTGTAAGCTACTCGAGATCTTTGAAACTCTGCAGAGAGCAACAGTATTCTTACCTTTGGTTAGTAGGTAATGGAAGAATGGTAGTAATAGTAGTTATAATTGTATACCCCCTACTAACCAAAGGTAAGTATTACAATGGCTTTTGTGCAAACCCGAAAGAGACGGTGACAGGAATGCACATGTAAAGGAACCCTGAACCCTAAGCCGTTAACCGCTTCGAATTCCTATACTGCGTTCATCAGAGGCTCGCCTTCTGGATGCTTGACAACTTTGGAGGATCTGGTGATGACATGTTGGGAGTGCCCCACCAGTACATTCTGAGATCACCATGTTCTAAGAGAGCTTCAGGAAAACTAGGGCTACTAATTGCAACTGCGGCGGTATACATATATGTATATACATATACATATGTGTGTATATATACACACACCTACACACACATAAGTATATGAAGGACATCTGAGGTTCCTTAGTTTCGAAAACTCCCATCTCAGAAGCCCGAAGCTCGAAGCCAAAAGAACTTCCGAGCGCCAGGCATTGCAATGTAGAATACCCAAAGACCCACCAGGACGACTGCCGAGACCTCGCTACTGTTGGTCGAGCAGGGATTAGGGGTTTAGGGGTTCAGGGTTTAGGGTTTAGAGTGTTCCCTGAGAATGCCGTATGTTTTTGAGCTTTCTGGGGATGGTAAGGGGATGGAAATACAACTAGAAACTAGCTCTTGGCAGATGGTCAATAGGCGAAAAAAGCCACCAGAAACCCCAAGTCATGGCCAGTTAGATATACCGACCGGTTATGCCGAGTGTACCGAAACGAACACCAAAACATGACACACGTTTGAGCGCCTTTTAGGGCATTGAAACCTCATCAGCACCTATAGGACACCTCCCTAAGCCAAAGGGTTCAATGGACCGAATCATTAGGGTTTATAGGGTTGTTTAGGGTTTAGGGTTTAGGGGTTTAGGGTTTAGGAAAGTAGTTTGTGCGTAAGTGTTTGGGAGAGTATACGATTAATTATCATGCACTTGGACCCTCATTGAAGAATCGCCAAGCATGTGTTCATACACTAATATTCGTGTTCAGGTTAACAACGCAGCAGTCGTGGAGTAATCTGTCAGAGTTCATGTGCTCATAGATCTAACTTAGTTACAACCTGAGTTATATTGTTTACATATATCTATATATATACACACTTAATACATACTTTCGACCATGATGCTGTCCTACAGCCAACATCGGGAACATCGGCATCCAAGGATTTGCGAGAAACTTTAGCCTCGCCGCCTCGTCTCTGCATGTTGCTTGAGGAGACCGCTAGCGTTTAGGGTTTAGGGTTTCGGGTTTAGGGGTTTAGCGTTTAGGGTTTGGGGTTTAGGGTTTAGGGCGCAGCTCATGATCGCGAAAACCGCATACCGAAAGATCCAGGGGGTCCCAACTGGTGTATGACTGCACTTCCGACTGAATTTGCTACAGTGCTAGACAGAGTGTATTTCCGCATAGTCCATGATTGCAATCAATGTCGATCCATGACATGGCACTCTGAACCCACCAACACCACCTAATGCGGTTTGGGATTTAGGGTGCTTCGAAATCCCGAAGCAACGAAGGACCTGAGGAACCACAACTCTGCAAGTGCCCTGAGGAAGTCTACTGAAAGGGCAAGTGCTGCCCCTAAGCTAGCATGATCTACTTCTGTGTAGGTTCTGAGCAGGAAGCCTGATATCGATCGAAGCTATCTGGACCCTACAAAACACAGTTCGTGGGTGGCTGTCAAGATTAAGGTCC